CTCACACGCTCTGCACAGTTGCGAGTTGGCCAGCCTACTGTGCGGCTGCCACAGCTGTCACAGCGATGGGCTCGCCCTCACTGGCCCTCAGTCACTTGTGCTGCGGCTTGTGTGAGCGACACTGCTCGGCGACTGCCGGCACACTGTGAGACCATGGGTGTGAGGTAAAACCACGCTACCAGCGCTTGGTCACATCGGCCCCGAGGTCAGATCCTTCTACTCTGTTGATGACAAGACTTGTCTACTGGCTGGAGCCGAGCAGGAGGGCCCAGCGCACAACCCCTGGTGGCAACTCAGGGTCCACACCCCGTAGGGGGCTAGGGCTGGCGTGGGGGGCCTCAGGTAAAGGTAAACGAAACCTGTCTCAGACCGCCGGAGGTAGAGGTAAACGGAGCCCACGTGAGGGGAGGTAAACGTACGCCCGTGAACGTGCCCTTGCCGAGGGCTCGAGGTGGGACGACGCAAGGCCCCCGCGAGAGCGCATCGCCTGCGGCGCGCCTGCCCGGCCATGACCAGGCTTCACCGCCGCTTGCCGGCGGCTGATCGCATCGCCTACCGCATCGCGAATGACCAGTGCCGCGACCTCTTGACCTTGCACTGCCTGCCTGCTACCGGTGCAAAGAATCTGCGTCTCAGTTCTTTGGCGCATTGGTTTTTTTATGATTGTGAGTGGCGGCTCGCACCATGGTCCATGCGGCAGTGCGGACACCAGGTGCAGGTCACGGTCCGCACTCCCGCCCTCCCGACCCCTCCACACCCCTACAGCGGCACCCCTACCCCTCCCGCCGTTTTAGGGCCTGCCCACCCGCACTCCTACCAGCGGACACAGTGGGCCGCGGACACCCGTGAACGACCTTAAACTTTTAAGGCCCTCCAAATTCGGGTCGGAGCGTAGGCCGTAGCGGAGTGGGCCCCGAGTTTGAAAAGGGCGACGGACGCTTGCGTCCTAGCCTCCAACAACGCCTCCCCGGCGCAGAGGGGCCCCCGGAGGGATGCACAACCGACCCACGCCACGCCGCTTGCGGCGGTCCTCTTCAGCCGCTGCTAATTTTGCCCGCTTTCTTTCTTTCTTTTAGTTGCCTTTGGCCCCACAGCCACCAACCGCCGACGCGCGAGTGTGCCTGGGGAGATATGGGGAGGTATGGGGAGGGCTCGTGCTCCGCCGCGCATCCGTGGATCGACCGTGCAATCGACCGCTTCTTCTCCAATGCCGAATCGCGCAGCACCTCGGGCCTCGGGCTGCGAGAGGTGATCGACGAGCTCCGCGCTCGCAGCTGGTCCAACCACAGGCCGGGAAAGCTGGAGGTGACGCTTAGCTGGAGCAGCGCGGAGAGCCCGTGGAGCGTCTCTGGACGCACTGTCAACAGGCCAAACCAGCCGTACAAGCCCGCGCACATGCTGACTCTCCTCAAGCGGGCTGTCCGCCGCCACGGGCCGGAGATTGCTCGCGAACTCGGCAGTCCAGGCGCACTGACCCTCTTCCTTCAGACCGAGGACTACCCGAACCTCCTCCCCATGCATGCGGGCGGGCGGGCGACGGTGATGCGCA